AGGGTCATGGGTTTGAGGGTTTCCTACAATTGCGCAATTTTGATACATGAAATTGTGCAGCCCAGGGCGGCAAAATTCGGGGGGCGGGTAAAAAAATTCTTTGCGTTATCGAAAATGCTTTTCTTATTTTCCAAAACATGAAAAATAAAAAAATAATAAGTAGTAGGTACATTTTTCGAAAAACATCTATAATTTATAAACAATCTTTTTGAATTTTTCAAAAAAATTATAATTAAAATTAAAAAAATTAACTTTATCGAAACTTCATCCATTTTATGCAAAATTTCGATAAACGGGCGGCCTTTTTTACTATGCCCAGGGGCTGCGCTTAGGTTAATTAAATCCGGCGCTGAATATGAGAGATAAAAAATAAAATAATAGGTATTACTTATACGATTAACTTATTTCAATCCGAAAAGATAGTTTAATTTAAAGTGTTAAATATTCGTGACTATATATATATATACTAGCGGACCCGACAGACGTTGTCCTGTCTACACGTCTTTAATTTGAAAATTTCAAACTTTTTTTAATAATTTTTTTGATGAAAATTATTATTCAAATTGTGAATCTAAACCATTCCCAGATCCCCTTGAACACACACAAAAAATTTCATCAAAATCGGTCCAGTCGTTTGAGAGAAGTTCAGTGACATACACACTCACATAAGAATTATATATATAAAGATATATATATATAAAGATATATATATATATATATGTATGTATATATATATATATATATATATATATATATATATATATATATATATATATTCCTATAATAAACAGTATACCCCATTACAACGATCTATATACATCCCTACGCATCCTGGGCAAGAATTTAACTAACGCTGATTGGCTAATCCTTTCACCATGATGGCAATCCAAGGTCCATTCATAAAAGCGTTTTTAAAACTTGCCGTCGACACGAGAAGAAGAAGATTAAAATTTGTTAACTAATATAGTACCTACCTACCTAATATTTTTGTTCTAATGTTTCATAATTTCAGACTTATTATTTTACGAAGAAAATATCAACATCTATTGACTTAAAATACAATGCATGATAATATCATATACCATACATCTCTAAAATTGTCATCAAATATAATTATGTTGGGATATTAACACACAGCACCATCTAGTTCAATGGTAAGCTATAAGGCTTTTGTTATGGATACCAGACAATTGATACACTACATATATACAGGTAACTTTAAAGACATACATATTCTAAATATGACACCCATGACTGGAGTACAAACATTCCTGCTCAACACACAAATGAATGCCCCCAGCGGAACTCGAATCCGCGACCGCTGGCACAGCGAAGTCAATACAAAAAAAAAATATAGAAATAATTTTCTTGTGTAAAATTTGTTAAAGCTATTTCGTAATAACTAAAATTCCAATAATATTTTCGTCCAAACTTTTACTAGGCCTTACAAAACACTTTGTGTGAATTTCGTCAGAAAATAATTTTTAAGTAGATGTCTGAAATTTAAATACTTTTACACTGATCTAAAAAGGGTTAAGGCATGTTACGAGTATAATATGCGTACCAGATGTTATCAACATTATTAACCCCTTTACGTCTTAGTATGTTTAAACTATCCCTTATTAACGAGGGAGAGCAGCAAATACTTTGAAGGGTCACGTAGGTTTCTTACCTCTAAAAGAGTATAACCTATTTTCCGTTATCAATGTGTTAAAGTCCATTTAAAAGTAATATAAACGATAGGAAATATAATGTTGAATCTTATACTACCTACTGTTTGTTGTATTCTTTCGTATATTTTGGTAGAAATGATAGGAACTTTATGTTGCATTGTATTCAGCCCTTTTTAGCTTCCCTTCAATACGAGGACGGAGGAGGATCAGGCCATAGTCTACCACGCTGACCAAGTGCGGGCGGACTTAACAAACCTTTCGAAAACTTGCTAGGTTCTCCCAAACATGCAGGTTTCTTCACGATATCTTGCTTCACCGTAAGACAAATGGTAATCAATCGATCATGTTGGAAATGATTCGCACATGTAAATATCAGAGGTGCGAGTCCCGGGATTTGAATCCGCTTCACTCGGTTTCCCAAGCGAGCGCGTTACTGGACTACCACTGCCTTAATATAGCAGGATAAAAAGTTTTTTCAATCTCTTTGTCAATTTGTCCTTTGTCAGTCTCTCCTCAGATTTTCTATTCCGCAAAAAATCATGTGGGTTCGTTGCTTTGTAAGGAAGTAAAAATGTCTCATCCATTAACAAAAGGTCAACAGATCTTTAACGGGACAAGGTAGAGGGATATATTTATAATAAAATTCATTAATCCTGCAATCATTAACAATACAATTAATACCTGAAATATTACCTATTCTTTAAAAGAATAAGTAAGTACCTACTTTGCAAATAAGAAGTGTGGTAACTATTCGAAAATTCAAAAGAACTGATTTAAAGGTGCTTTTAAAAGTCTATTTGAATAAAGTATATTTTTGATTTTATTTAAAAACAAAAACTGTCCGTATATTTCTATTATTATATTCTTCTTTGTATATTCTTATTTCTATTTTCATTCTATATATTATTTTATATGTTCATTATCATTATTATTCTATATATTCTTTTTTCATATATTTAGAATAAAAACCATTGAAATATATAGGTATAAGGAAAAGAAATGAATATGCTCGGAGTAAACTATCTTTATTTCCCAAAAAATAACACCAATTAAAATACATTTTAAAACATTAATTACGATTAGGTTATTTGTATATTATTTATACGAACAGACGCGGTCTGCTTACGCCTTACTCTATTACCTAACGGTGCCGACTTTCGTCGTCCCGTTTATTGTCATTTTATTGTCAAGTTTACTTCGACCGCGTAACATTCACATTAACTATACTTAACAATTTACGATAAGAAGTAGTTGAGAAGTGTCCCAAATTACCGACTGTTGAGAAACTGCGCTTCGGAAGGATTTTGTATGGAAATTCTAAACATTTTACTACGAAATTACCATTAATATTAGTTTTTGGCATATTTCAATAGCTTTCGATAGTTTGGCACACCTCTGACTCTGTTACAATAATTTAGTATGATATGATTACTTCATATGTAGGTTAGGCAAGATACACATTCATAGTAATTGAGATATGTATGTAAATGCGAAATCTAAACACGTAATAAAATTCAATTTATCAATTATAGATTTTACTGCAATACGCATCGATAAACGCTACACAATTACAAATTCACTATAAAGAATCGAGTGACATAAACAATTCAATTCGTAAAACTACTGAATATGTTTAGAAAATCATATATAAATAATATATAGCTAATCGTAGGATAGGACGTGCGTCCGTCAATAAATATGAGAATCAATTTGACTAGCTTAAAGCCGTAATACATATGTAATATAAGTTAAAGCCAATATCATAGTCTGTAAGGTTATGTCGGCGGAGTGCGCCCTCTTATAGTAATAGATAGAACGGTACACTAGCCCGTAGCAATGTACTGACACCTCGCCTCTAGATGTTGATTATACGAACTTCAGCAAAACTCAACGATTTACACTTCAAAAACCGTCTAAAATACCTTCCTTACAACTATAATCCAATACACGAATAATATGAAAGAGCGCGGACGCCTCTAATGTACAATTAACTAACATGAAACATTTAAATATAGTTAAAGCATTTGTCTGTCGGTCTGATTAAGCAATTTTGCTGTCTGACTGTAAAACCTATTCGCTTAATCAAACCCGACGTAGCCGTCCTTTAGGCTTTTGAGTATATTACAGGGTACTTAGCCGCTAATCACAACGGGTACATGTATAGACATTCAATCTACGTGGATTACATAAATATATAACCAGCATATTATAATATAGCAACAACATAGAACGAAGATTTATACATCATTATACAAGACAGAAAAGTTTCCCGCAACCCGTTATAAGACCGTTAAAACCATATTATATATATTAGGATTTGTTTTAAAACATTCTACTATATTGTTTAATTAACTTACTCTACAACTACGTTAAATTTTATTGTATTTAGATACTTATTGTCTGATCATGTTGCCATTATTGTCAATCGTCGTTATTTTCGTTATTTATTTAGATACGTCGCAAATAATTGTACTTAAGCAGTATAAAAAATATGTTACCGTCCATATTAAGAAGTAATAGTAGAATGTGCCAATTAAGTACATAGTTCAACGGTTGTTTCAACACAGAAACTTGTAAAATAAAAAAATAAAAATGCAAAAAACTTTCAAAAAGTTCTAAAAGTAAAAAGTACTTATACAATAAAATAACAGCACTTACTATTCCACGAGGCTGTCGGGCTCATATAGCGTCCCGTGAAAATTAATAAAAAAAACTTTGCCAAACAACAAAAAGTATTTCAACAGCTCCGCTTATTAAGAAATGAAGCATAATTCAAAGTTCCAGCCAAATATTGCATAAGAGTAAATTCAACAAACCCTATTTTTTCGAGAGACCTTAAATCTAAGTATTGATTTATAATGTCTACAGTTTAGAGATAAAACTTTTCCTTATTGTCCATTCGTTATCGTCTTGGAAATTGACGGTTACTAGTAGAAATAATTGATATAATGTATTTAATAACAAAAATCATTATTAATACCAAATTGTTATCTACCCATAATCCGTCTATCACCTGCGTAAAGTCGATTCGATACAAGAAAATATTATACTTACATCTATAAAAATACAATGCGATTAAAAAGGGGGGCTTAAAAATCGCATATCTAGAGAAAATCTCAGTTAATTAAAAATATAAAAATATTGAAATAGTAGATACGCGGAAAGCTCGGGTCTCGAGTCAAGCGAAAGCGAGGATATGCTTCCGATATGGCGTTTTAATACTGATAGTGATAACATTAATAGGATTTAAAGCCCACGAAGTATTTGTACGTAAGGGAGAGTCCCTTTGGAATGTTCTCGGTCGTTCTGGAAAGTTCTGTCGGTTCAGTAAGCGTAGGGCACGTATTCAGGTAGAGCGTACTCGAAGTATGGGTGGTAGAAGTTGCGGCGCACCGGCGGGAGCATCACGTCGGAGTAGCGTGAGAACTGGGACACTTGACGACTACCGCCTTGTGGTTTCCTAAGAACAAATATTTATTTAGCGTGCATGTCAATTAGTTATATTACTAACTATTTATTAAAAAAATGAAGATAATGTCAAAATATTTTATAATGTTATCAAGAAAATATATCCTCTTCATGTGTTGAATACTTATTCAATAATTACACACACGATACAAGTATTCAGTATAATTATTCAACACTTAAAGATGAAAAAGAGCATAAGTATGTTTGACGCATTTAAGATGATTTGCAATTGACAATAGTTATGACAGACTTCTCTATAAAAATACTCCTACAAAATGTGGCTTTCAAAATGGCACTTTATCAAATTACTTAAACCGCAGTTCACGTGAGCTTCGAACTCGTGACTAGACCTGCAATTATTTATACAATACCAATTTTACGTTAAAGTTAGCAAGCATCATTGTTAAAAGAAAAATCGACGAAAAACAAAAGGCATTAATGAATTTAAGCGTGCGCAAATTAAAAAAAGCAATAAAATAGATTTAATTAATGAATGTACTCGCAGATAAATCAATCAGGAGTATAAAAATATACGTATACTAGCATTGCCCGCGGCTCCGACCGCGTTCAGATGACAAAACCAAATTCTTAGGGTTTACAGATTAGTATACTCTTACATTTTAAATTTTTTGCATTTTTTCTCAGAAATGAGATATTTTCCCGCGATAAAAAGTATCCTATATGTTGACCCGGATAACCAGCTATCATTATACCAAATTTCATCAAAATCCCTTCAGTGGTGTTTCCGTGATGCGGTAACAGACAGACAGACAGACAAAAATTCTAAAAACTATAGATTCGGCTTCCGTATCGATAATAAAGTCTATTTCAATAAGATTTTCCAAAAAATATTTAATGTACGGATTCAGCTTAGTTACAATTTTCTTATATGTATAGATTTTGCTTCTGGGTAATTAATCATTTCTTAACGTCTATGGGGTTTTTATATTGGCATGTAAAACAAAAGACATGACGGTCTATAAGTTGCAAATTTTGCTGTTATTCTTCACTTATTTTACTGTACAAATGCACGGTATCGTTAGCTATCAATTTTGACACTTAATAGATCTATTATTCGCGAAACTTCGAATTGATTTGACATAATAGAGCCGTCGAACTTACTAATTTACCCAAAGACCTGTCAGTCACAAGCAACGAACAAAATAAAATATAAGAGAAACAAATAGTATTCAACCAAAATTAGAGATTTTAAAATATATTTCAATCAAAGACAGATCTTTAAAAATATATAGGCAAATACGTCATTTATATTTTTTTGATTTGACACTCACTTTCCATGTCTTGCACTGGGCTCATCAGTGTACTCCAGGGGCTGGAGGCCGTGTGGTTCTTGCTCTCCATACGTGCCATACACATAATCTTCCCCTCTGTAACAAACATAATATGGTTTTAATAACGTTAAATCTGAACTTATATAATTTAAAATCTATTTCTCTTTTTATTATATGTTGGCTAAAAAGTTATACGATTTGTTGCTGAGATATCGGATAACCAATCAAAATGAGATTTTGTACTCCAGTTCAATACAATATTCTATAAATAGGAGTATTCTTGACTCGTTGTATAATAAATAAGTTCTTTTATATTTAAATGGTAATTTAGTAAAGTGTATTAAGTGTACTTAAGTGTTTTTATGTTTAAAATATATTTATTTACGGCTTTTTATTTCTAGCCATTTATACGTTCGAAATTTTATTTAACATATTCTTATCCTAAATTACTTATAAATATTAAATAAGTTGTATGTTTTTTGTGATCGCTATTTTGATGACCCACTCGATAAACTTCGAAGATTTTTTTTTAAAGACATACAAATAGCCGCTTTGTTGATATATTAATATAGCTTATGATATTCGCGTTATCAAAACGAATCTAACGAAGTATGAATCATTAAAATCGATTAAGCTGTTTAGTAAGTATAAGAGAGCATAAGTTCGGTCATACATAGCGTATGTGTATGCATATACATACATACATATGTATAACTAAGTCAAACATATAACTCTCCTTTGGGCTTCGCTGCAGTAGGATAACAATACTAGATGAGATAAATATAAGAAAAACTCTTACAAAAGACTTTAGAACTTTCTTTGTTAATTCTATCGTATCATTTGTATTGGAATTCAATTATTTACAAGTGTAAAGGAAAACCGCACGAGATATTTCCAAATAGCATTCGAGAGCACTTAGTCGTAAAGTGTTTTTAACAAAGCGATTTCACTTAAAAAACCTTGTTTAATTTCGTCTTCCTAATAGATTTTGAATTTGATAATGAATGTAATCTTTGAATGGTACAAGCAGTTGAAATTAATTATTTTAACAGGCAAATATTTGTATTTTTCGGTGATTGTAAGGAAAAATATTTTACCAAATGTTTGGAACGCTAGATAATAAAAGATAAGTCGACAGATTAATTAAAGAGTTATGTTGGCTGACTTCCCGAGCTATTGTTCAGTTTTGCAGAAACTTATTCTAGATTTTACTTTTTATACATTTATTTTGGATAAAAGAGCTTTATTGGTGCACTAGTGACTCTTCCTCTCTTCGGTTCGTCCCTAGGAGCGTTTTAACGGTCAGTATGGATATCCCACGGGAATCGTAAATTTTTACGGGATGAAAAGTAACGTTTTTCCTATTTGAGACTATAATCAATTTTTGTGTCAAATTTCATCCAGATCCGTTCAGCCGTTTTGGCGTGATTGAGTAACAAACATCCATCCATCCCAAAGTTTCGCATTTATTATAATATTTATGGGATTTTTAAGTAAGGTAAAAATAGAAACCTCCATTTCTTAGTTCGTATTTTATTTACGGAAATCTTTGTTTTAATTGTCATGTACAATATATCATATATCTGTGGTGTCGGGGAGAACATGATATCTCCAATTTGTTCGAATTTTAGTTAGGTACTACAATGACATTGAAAATTTATTGAAAACCTCTAACTTGAAGAAAATACAATGACTGTATTTTCTAAAATTCTTTTAATAGGTTACAATATTGGTCAGTATTTAATCAAATCTTTAAAGTGTCATACTGAAACAATATGTTTTTGTACTTATCATGTTTCTCCCCGACATCACAGATATGTACGTACCTATTTACTATTTAACGTGTCTCTAAGATAAAACATAAGATTTACTTCTAGCAGATAAGTTCGTAATTTTTATTATTTATTGGGATAAAAATCTCGTCTGTCTTGTCTTAAACATAAAAAACTTAAAATTTGCATGAGTTTGAGCCGTTGTGAAATATAACAAACGTGAAAAGTTGTAAATGGATTAGTTATTTTTCTTACTGTAAGGATTTGACGAATTTGAATGAAATTTAGAATGGATATAGTTTATACTACTTAATAGGTACTCTGCATTACCACGGACAATCATCCACGCAACTACCATCTAGGCCAAGTTGCAAATTAAATCTAGTATTTTTGTACATACATTATTTCATCTTTACCACATATATATGTAAGTAGATGTAAATAAATGAATATAATTAATTTTCTATTTAATTTGCCATTCGTTATTTGAATTCTTAAGTACCGACCTCATAACATATGCATAAGGTGACATTATCTTAGAAGAAGAGAAACAAGAATTCTACATGTGAATAATTTCCTAAAGCTCCCCTTCGTACTAATAATTAGTATTATAAATCTTTCGAGCTTGTCTGGAATTTGGTGACACATAAAGCTTCTGCCGTTTTCATTCGAGTGCTTCACTTTACTTTTTATTTTTACATAAGAGTTTTAAATTTTTACGCTGGTTTCAAGAGTTGCTTTTAACTTTTCATACGTATATGTATATTTATATCTGCAGAAAAATATATGTAACTGCTATCAAAAATTGTTTTAGAATTTTGTAAACTCTAAATAAGTTTGATATTAGATATTTACTGTAGCAAAAGATGTTTACAAGTTGGAAGAAACTTATATTAATTATAAATTCTAATATGTATATTATTGTTCTGAAAGTACTTGTATAGAAAATTGTCGCTCAGGCGTTTTCAGGTTCAATTCATGCTAGGGAAAATGCTTTTAGTAACAGTCGTTTGTTATACACATGTTTCCTCAAGCTTGGTAAATCCCCGACTTAACTAAAAATTATCTTCTTTGTATCTTATACAAATAATTGCAAAAAAATTAGCCAGATTTATAATATTTTATTATTAACTAAGAAATAGACCTGATCATCGATATGATACGTTGCAAAGAAATATTTTAATCATATGATGAAGTAAAGAATGGATAAAATAAGGAATGAATACATAAGAGGAAGCTTACCCCAGGTAACTTGGGAAATGGGCAGGGAGAAGAAGATGAAGAAATGAAGAAAAATTGCTGTGATGATTTTCGTTTCACATATACAATGGTTTCAGACACACAGTTACATAGATAAAGACAATAAGTCTAGAAAGCTTTTCTCAGGTGTCGAAGCAACGGAAAAGTATAAAATTCAGTGGCATTTTAATAATAATTTTAACGCAAGATTGGCCTAATGTATAAAAGATAAGATCGATCCTGAAAGCAACGTCTTGCATTTCAATTGCCATTTTCAATTTTATTCATTTTGTATAACAAGATCATCCCGTCTCAGTTTAAAGTCGACAAAAGTTCAGAAGAATTTTAAATTAGTTTGCAAAATACCTACTTAGTTATTACTAGCGACTTACGTCTCTAGGTACGTTTTAACAGTTATCATAAAATGTATGTATTCAGCCCTTTTTGAAGTGCTGGGCACGGGCCTCCCTTCAATATTGGGGGAGGGGTGGGGGGGATCAGGCCATGGTCCACCACGCTGGCCAAGTGCGGGATGGCAAATTTCACATTTCTTTTGAAAACTTCTTAGGTTATCTCAGACATGCAGGTTCCCTCACGATGTTTTCCTTCACCGTAAGACAAATGATAATCATGTTGGAAATAATTTGCACATGAAAATATCAGAGGTGCGAGACCCGGGATTTGAACGCGCTTCACTCGGCTACCTAAGCGAGCGCGTTACCACAGGGCTACCACTGCCTAATATGGAATAGACTATATATTACCTATATGATATATAGCTTATAGCCTTGCTCAATAAACGTACTATCTAATGCAAAAATAATTTTTCAAATCGGATTAGTAGCTTCCTGAGATTAACGCGTTCAAACAAACAAACTCTGCCTTTTTTTTAATATTAGTATAGATAATATTTGCAGCATATAATACAAATTAGAAGCTTAAAAGAGCTTCCAAGTATTTGTTTCCTTTGAAAATTGAACTTATTATTTTTATTACATTAGCTAGTGAGTTATTCTCGCTTCGATTGGGTGGATTTCGGGGGCTTTTTTATTTATAATATTATACGCAGGTAGTGCCACCTCTGACAATTTTTATAACTAATAGTAGCCTATGTGTTACTTAGGTCATAGTCTATCTGTGAAGTTTTCATACAAAACCCTCCAACAGTTCCTTCATAAAAGATTAACAAACATACATATATTCACAGAAAAACTTTTGTGACATGTTTACTTGAAATGTAATACATTGCTTAAAATAAAGTTACATTTCAGCTTTTATAAAATGAAACTCTTAGGACCTTCCATAATTATTTACAGAAACAAGAAAATGTTTGTAAATTCTTGTAAAGCCCATTAATCTTAGAAGTCGCATTTGTCTTTTACTTTATGATATCCTAAAATTCAGCCACAAGGTCCTACGACGACAGCTTTAGGCGGTGAAATTATGCGGCGGTCATGAAATAAAAACGATTTTGTAATAGCGTCTCGAAACTTTTTTTTAATATGGCAACTGTTATTACATGGACCGAAGAATTTATTTATTGTTCCAAAATTTTTATGTAATTATAAAAAAAATATGGATATTTTTAAGATAATACAATTATTCATGTAACTAAAATTATTAATAATTAAATATTATATCAAAATATATTAAGTAGAAGTCTTTATATACGTGAGTCCCCGTATATAATTTCTAATTTTTTTATAAAAAAAAATGATGCGAATTTCCCAACGAAAAAGCTAAAATTCTGATTCTGATTTATTTAAATTATATTATTTAAATAAATCATTACGTCCTTATATGGTTAATAAAAGTAAATATAAAAGACGTTGCACTCACCCGCGTCCAGCTGCGATTTCTTTAAGCTCTTGTTTTTGTTCCGTCTCATATTTCCGCTGCAACTCGCGAACGTGCTCTTGCCGGATCAATTTTTTCAATGCTTCGAACCTAGATTTATTATATTATTAGGATAGTACAATTATAACATAAATATATCTATTTGGCAACATGAAGTTCTATTCAAGATTCGGTGAATTGCATTTTATATTAATACTAGCGACTCACCCTCGCTTCGCTCGGGTTCGTCCCTAGGTACGTTTTAAATTAAAATGGATATAGTATGTTATCCTTAAGAGATAGACATATGCCATTGCGGACTTTTCTGTAGACCTATATAAGATACACAATTCCACCATACATTATTTTGTTATATCTCAAAGGGTTTAGGCAGCGTTTTCGTTGAAAGCTCCCAGACGTCTTATTTTTTCGGACACCTCCAACAAATATCGTTATATTTTAGCCAATGTATATAAACTTAACAAATTATATATTAAAACCTTCCTCTTGAATCACTCTATCTATTAAAAAAACCGCATCAAAATCCGTTGCGTAGTTTTAAAGATTTAAGCATACATAGGGATATAGGGACAGAGAAAGCGACTTTGTTTTATACTATGTAGTGATATACTATAATTGTACCCAATATATTTAATTCCAAGAGAATGATACCCCTCGGGATGGAGGATGAAATTTTATAATATGTCTTTATACTAAGTAATATTAGGTATATTTGAATTAAAAAACATAATATATGACAGTAAAATAAATACTTAAAGCCACTTTAGTATTCTTATTCCGAGTTCTAATCGGTAAAATAGTAGGTACTACCCGCAAAATATTTATATATATATATATATATATAAAAGTATTATCTGCCCGTTTGTGATGTTACCTACGTAAAGCTAATGTTTCTCAGTAAGTGAATTGTATTCTTTTCAGAAATAAATGAATCGTAAACCTCATATGTAGATACTAACGACTTACCTCCGCTTCGCTAGAGTGCGTTGCCTAGGTACGTTTTAATTTTTTTGAGCGGAACCCTAATTCTTTTTCTAAAATAAAGGTAGGCTAAGTTAAGCCTTATAACATCTGCCAGTGAAAATCAGTTCAGCCGTTTCAGAGATTAGCCGGAACAATCAGACAGATAGACAGACAAAAAATAAAAATGGTGTTTTTGTTATAAGTAACGAATATTATATATATAATTTCATACGCATTTAGTAAAAAGCTGTTATTCTTAACATTACAAACAGACACTTCAATTTTATTTATCTGTATAGATTAGCTCAGTATTATATAAAGAATTGTAATGAGGTTTAATGCATCTTCTTTTCTTTAATGCAACGCCGACAAAATGGCGGAGATAGCTTACGAATTGTGTGTTTTTTATTTATTAAGAGAGCGACATCACAATATGGGAAGACTTAATTCGCTATTTCATAAATTAAAAAAGTTCTATAACGCATATTTATATGGTTTTACAGTCTTTATAATAAATGATAATTAATCTATTTCAATATTACGCATACCTATCCCTTTGAGGAGGGACCATGAACTGCGGTCCACCGCGAGGCCGGGACGGTCCCGGGTATCGCAGCATTTTGCCAGATGTATGTGGCACATTCAACATCCCGAACATCTGGAACAATTGTGCTTCATAAAGTAAGATAGAATAAATTGGTTTCTATATAAAAATAATAATTTTCTTAGAAAAGAAATATCGAACTATCGCCAGATTATCCGTTGATTGATGGCATAGTTAGACATGGTCTTATTCTGTAAATTACAGGATTTTGTTAAGCAATCGGTTATTGTGTAAGTTGGAATTTGATGTCAAATTTTGGCTAGCGATAGCAAATGGAAATAAGTTACTGTGACAGTTGCTAACGACTGCTTTTATCTATTGCCTCAGTAATTAATAGTATGATAGACAAAAGAGAAAATTGTGCTGGGTGATGAAATCGTAGTCTTCTTTGCCTAAGAAATTGTACGTAAAAGAAATTGAAAGTTTCATTTGATGGAGACATTTGTTCACATTATGCTGTTTGTTAAGTTGAATAAGGTTAGCAAAATTCGTAAAAGAACAGCATTTTATTTTATTTGTACAGATTGAAATGTATGCGTTATGTTCAGTATGTTTAATTTTTTTATGTTAGTATTGAAAAAAATATTATATGTAATTATAATTGGCCTTACAATTGAGTACTTTCCATTCGAGTAAAAGTTTAGTTTATCCTTATAACACGGAGCATGAAAGGGTAGTATTGTTCTCGCAGTATTATGTGAGCAGATTTCCAAAAAAATACTTTAATTTTTACTTTAAAGTAGGTATTTACGTTATGTGGATTTACAAAAAAATACTACTAAAACAGAACTACCGACTGTGTAAAAAGCAAAATAAAAATATGGGAACTTGTTGACGTAAGAGCATTACGTAGTCGAAGACATACATTTTTAAAACTTTTTGCGAGTTTTGCTACATATTTACATAAACCGAGGTCATACATATAGCCCACTTTCTGGGCACAGTCGAGTAAAACTGATATCGATCATTTTATTAGATGTAGACTATACATGGTACATGAAATTTAAATTACATATTATCTACACTGATTTACATAAAAAATATTCTAAACTTGTATTATATGTTACGAATTACTATAGATTATAATGGTATATTTGGATTAATTGTCGTCATTTATTTATTACAGGCGGACTATCTGTCTGTTATGACCATACCCAGAACAGTTTTGCGTATATAATATATACTTATATTTTTTAACGTTTTTTCAGTTATTGTTCATGAACTGCCCGACGCCCGTGCGAACTCATTCAAGCGGTGAATTTATAGAACATTCTGTATGCAAATAGAAAATATTTGAATACTAAAACATAATGGAACGAGTACAGGATGCGAATTGTTAGTGCGTGCTATTATTACGCATCATGTAGAATTTACGGTGTAAATATTGTACCTGTATGTTTGATAGTTTAAGCGCTATATTTTTTGATCTATAATTATCGATATTTTGTACCAAAACCGATATGTTATATAAAAATCGATATTTTAGATTTTAATAATAGCTCTTGCCTGTGTTACGCTTACGTAGGTTACGTAGGTACAATTAACGTCTTTGGATGATGCAAAATACGCTTATAAATAAATTGAATTATTATAAACGAAACTAAAACGACTGGACCGATTTAAATGAAATTTAGGATACAGATAGATACTGACCTGGAGTAATATATAGACTACTGTCAGATACGTATTGACGCACGCGAGCGAAAAGAGGGTAAGTCACTAGTCTATACATATAATAAAATTCTAAGTCGAATCTGTACATTAAATATTTTTGGGAAATTTTTATTGAAATATTCATTATTATCGATATAGAGGCCGAATCTATACTTTTTGGAATTTTTGTCTGTCTATCTGTCTGTCTGTCTGGGAACGCATCACAAGAACACTACTGGATAGATTTTGATGAAATTTGGTATGATGATAGCTGGTTATCCGGATACTTTTTACTGCGGGAAAATATCTCATCTCTAAGAAATTTATACTAACCGTTAAAACGTACCAAGAGACGAACCCGAGCAGAGCAATAGTGAGCATATAAAATGCAAAAAGGATTGTTCAAATTATTAAAAAATAAAGGGCAATTTTTGAAGATTTTGTAAATTCTTTACGAAATTTTCATAATAACTTTAAATCTGCTTTAAAAAGCAGCAGAGTAAAAAAATTATGGTCGTAAGAGAAAGTTTATTAAGGTTACTAAAAACATTAGGATGGCTTAGGATTATTTAAATTATTAAACAAAACAGCGAAAGAGCTGAGTATATGTATCTCACTCGATCACACTTGTCTCGATCCTTCAATAAAATCAGCACCAAAGCCGTCAACTAAGGAAGCATTTTAGAGTGTCAGCAAAGATGATGGAAAAATATAGAAGATTTATCTTACCTCGTCCTATAGAAGTGGCTGTTAAAGCGGCAACACGAATTCTTATAAATGATTTAAGTTATTTTATTACTACATCTTATCTGTCGATCGTCTATTCAGAGAAAACGCAAAACAGAGAGGTCAAATGCTCTATCTACAGTGCTTTGTTATGCTATTATCGTATTCTACAAATCAGGCTTCCCAACAAAATTAACATAGATTAACCATTAAATGTCAGTGACAATAAGTTTAAGGGTTACAGTTGCTAAGAATACCACCGCACACACACATCTACTTGTTCCAAGCATGTGGGCAAGTTTTATATGATTTTGTGTTATTGAAGTTTGAAAAAATAGGTACAATAACATAACCTTTGAGTATAATTTCAAAAATTGCTTTACAATAACTTTATATAACATTTATAGTCTAAAAGCAACTAGTAAAATTATCTTCAAGTAGGAGGCACAAAAATAACATGCCGTTATGCCATTTTTTTAATTTAACTAAGCATTCTCTGCGATTAATGAAATAAAATGCATATAGAAAAAAATAAATAAACATCGACCCTGCCAGGATTCGAACCTGGAATCTTCTGATCCGTAGTCAGACGCGTTATCCGTTGCGCCACAGGGCCTATACAAAGATCGACAAATATCACAGTTTTAATGTATTTCTCGTACAAAGCTTAGTCTTAGGACCGCTATAAAGATAATAAAGTTTTAATTACACCAGTGCTTTCCCTTTTATATTATGAAATCGGAAACTTTCGCTGTAACTAATACACCGGCTAAGTTTAAACTTAGTTATGATATAAGTGAACAGGTTCACTTATACTTTTTAGTATACTATATTAACTATTGACTTAGCTGTACGATAAATGTTATATCCGTATTCATATTTTAAATTATTAATATTAATTTAATATTATAAATGTGAATGTTTGTGAGTATGTATGGATGTTTGCTACTCTTTCACGCCAGAACGGCTTAACGGATTTGGATGAAATTTGGCACAGAGATAGATTATAGTCTGGAACTCCCCTTAGATAAAGTCTACTTTTTATCTGGATAAATGTACGGTTCCCGTGGGATAGATTTGTTTTTGTTTCCTTAGAGGCGAACCCCAGCGAAGCGAGGGAGAGCCGCTAGTTAGAAATACATTTATTGTACGTCAAAAATACTTAGCAGCAGCAGATTGACTCCAGCAGATTTGATAAAGATGCCTTAGTCTTGAGAAGAAATACCGCAAGAAACTCAGCTAGACTATAGAACTTTTTTTGTATATTAAAATAACAATGAAAAAAGTTTTCCAATTTACTGTAACATTAAAACACCAGGCGATTACATCACTCCTATGGCGTCTTCTGGAAAATCACTTACTGTATCGTATGCCTTACGCACTTTAATACATTATTATTAATTTCACAGTATATATTTTATATATAATAATCTTTTTATTACTATTTTTTAATTTAACTGCATATATACTTATAAATCGTTTTTTTCTTGGCAACATTTTATTTGAAATCTTTAAAAAATAAAATTTATTATGATTTGACCTATCGGCCAAATTCGAAGTTATAAAAACCCTTTTTTTTTTTTTTTTTTTATGTCGGGAAATGCATTTACGCATACCACCTGATCCCCCAGGTGGTGATGTGGGGCTCACCGGCTAGAAGAGCCGGTACTACCCACTAAAACCCGACATTCCCCTCCCCTCCGCCTTAATGGGACGCCGCAGGATCGCTTGCGCATAACTACTACGGCGCCCCGGCGGCAGGTCTGCCTAAGCGCTAGGCAGACCACCAAACCAATGGGGCTGCTCCACAGTCAACTCTGCTACGCCAGAGAGGTACCCGGAGCAGCCCTATTAAACCTAACCACCGCCCACCGAAGTGGGCCACCTCCAATCGGCTGCAGAGGACAGGGAGAGCGGCAACGAAACACCGACACTCCTCTTCCCCTGCAGCCCCACCGCGTCCGCCATCGAACGGTGGCGGCCCCGTCTAGGCCGCGGAAGGTAGGGAGAACGGCGCACTGAAATACCGGCACTCCTCTCCCGCCGCGGCCTACTCCTCCGCCGGATGCGGGCCTGCGACCACAGTCCCGCAACCGGCACCCATCATCCGGTTGTGGGACCAAGCGGTCCCACCACCGGTGGCCGCAACGTCTTCGGCTCGAGGCCTAGACGAGCGGCCCCATCCAAGCCATTTGGTCCGCGCCGGATTTCTCCGGTACCACCCGCCGCCCTAAGCGGGTGGCATTCCCCTATCCGCCACCTGGGGACGCGCCCGGTAGGAGTTGGCTTCTCCCCCGGGAAGTTACAAAAACCCTGTGTTTATTAGCGAATCACTCTTTCTCTGGCGAGCAGTTGATCAGGACAAACTTACGTAACCTTGATAATTGTTTAAAGGATAAGGTATTCATATATGTATAGTATTTTTGCTGATATATTTTTTTAGCTAATACTTATATTTAAACTATTTTGTGATAATAATAACTACAATAATAAAAATAATTGTTACAGTTTCCGTTGTCTTATTTACCTACCTCCATATGTTATATAAAATTATAATTATTATATATAAAAGTATCATGTTTCAGCTTAATATTAAAGTAATATTGGGTAGTTAGAAGCTTTTATTTCTATATTTTTAAAGAATCTATCACACTCAAAATACCTACTTAACATTT